CGGACCGGAGCTGCTCTTCCCCGGGCTTCCCGGAGTCAGCCACTGGTCAGTTTAAGCAGCGGCTGACTTGGGAACGCCTGGGGCAGAGCAGCTGGGGTGCTGCCGGGTTGGTCCCGCCGCGCCAAGGGTCGGCGCTACCAGACGAACACAGCAGCATTCCAGCTGCTCTGCCCCAGGCGTGTCCGATTCAGCCGCTGCTGGTCAGTTTCAACAGCGGCTGAATCTGGACGCCAGTTCCGACTTACATACAAATTCAACTTAAGAACAAACCTATAGTCCCTATCTTGTACGTAACCCGGGGACTGCCTGTACTTGTGAGGAAGGTGTAATAACATTTCAGTGTAGATGCTACAGTGAAATAAGAACATTTCACTCTATTTTCAAGCTGTTGATGTTCTCTTTTGAGGCAGGTGACAAAATAGATACTGAGCAACTAAAGACATCTAGAGCAATAAATATGACAGCATGGAATCATTCACTTTTGCTAGTTCTTGGTTTTCATTCATTTGACTTGCTTAGTGTATTCCTAAAATTAGAAGCTAGGCCTGAAGCATATACTGAATGTTCTTGGAGATTGCCTTGTCAGGGATATACATATGATATTAGATTATAGTTGAATCCTTTTAAATAGAGCTTTATTGTCAAGAGTGACTGAGATTTCTGAGCAGTACATATTTTCTAGGTATTCTTTGACCAGGCCTTTTAGTTATCAGTAGTAAGGACTGAAATCTTTTACTTGAAATGATTTTCTTTAGTGAGTAAAAGGCAGATGTGATGTGTTCACAGAATCTTTTGTAAGTGAGGAGATAAGCTGCTGCATTCTAATTCCCTCAGCAGTAGTGCTGTCAGGCCTGCATTCTTGTAGTTCAGGGAAATGAAGACAAAATTGTGAATTACCCATGTTATGTAAGGATAGGACATTACTTCTGGTCAGTGAGAGATGGTAGAACGTGTTACTTGCAGGTGCTGCTGTGAGAGGTTAGCTTCAGCTAGGAATCAAGGAAAGCTTCCTAAACTGCACAGTGCCTACACATTCTTCTTGGTATTTTCTTCTACCTAATAGTATAATTTCAGTCTTACAACCAGTTTTTCTTTATCCAAGAGCATATCTCAGCCAATCATTGAGTTAACTTGGTGACAGACATCATCCAGAGGTCCCTACACCTTCTGTTGTGCCCTGTGTCCTTTGCAACTGCAGGGTGTGGAGACTGAAATCTTACCAAGATATAACTCTGGAAGGCTGCACCTTCATTTCTAGGCTGTAGTTTCACTGAAGACTTTGGCCAAGATATTTAGGTGTTGCTATGCTCAGTGTTGTGTTACAATAATTGTTTTAGAGTCCTAAAATGCCTATAGCTTTTGAAAATGATATTTAGGTTCCTAAGTCAGTTAAGTGTTGTGACACTGAGTTCAGCACTGTCCAAATACCTGTACAAATCTGGGCCTTTTAGCAGTTTAGTCTAGCACAGTGCAGTTTTGCTGATGCTAATGGAAACACTAACGTAGATTTGAGGTCTGTCATTGTTACACTATGTCATCTAGACAAGCTGTTTTACTGTGTCTTTTCTCATAATCTATAGATAGGCTTGACAGAATTCATTTTTTATTCTTTTATAATTTTAGTAGATAACACTGTAAATTAATCAATATAAAAGCTTAAACATTTGCACAGTTGCAGGAAATTATGGGGATCAGACAATTATTTAATGAAAGGTGTTGAGATTAAAAAGTTAAAGCTTTATATACCATTAAAACTCAACTTTTCAATGTCACGTCAAATACTCAAATACACGTACCATCAACAGATTATACCTGTTACTACTATTCGTTCATAGTGAATTTGTAAAAAGTCTAAATCACTGGATATTGACTTTAAGTTCTTAATTAACATTTTATTACTGTACATTTTGGTTATCATCTATGGAAGTATATTTTGCGTGTGTGTGTAAAACCATATGCTCCAATTAAAAAATTAGAGCCTTGTAAGCCTGTTCAGAAGCTTACATGAATATACTCTGCCTTTTTCACCTGTGTTCACATTGGTGCCAAAGCTACACTGGTGTTTAACTAATGAAGAAAGAATTGCTAGCAATTCTCAGTGTGATGAAGGCCACAGTATGGAGTAGCTGTAGTCAGTGCTTTCATGCTTTTCCAAGACTGGCATTTTCTAAAATCTCTGGAGTGACTGGACTTTATCCCTAAGCAGTAACGAGGTAGAGACAATCCCTTTGAAATTTTATGCTTTACATTCAGTATTCCACAGTGGATTCAGTTGTAATGAAGTGAAACTTCACTGTAATAGTAGTGGAAGTTCACCAAAATGCACAAGACATTTTTGATTTGCATTCTACTCCTATACAGGAGTACCATTATATGTGATTGATTATGATCACGTTACACTGTTTCTAGCTCATATCAGAATTTAAATCCAGTTTGAATAGCTCGGGCATATTTGTGTATGAGAGTCAATGAAAATTTAAGCAATGAAATGGTCCCTTTTGTATCAGTTATACTACCTTGTTGTTCTCTGATTTTCTAGTATCTTCTGTAAACAGTGTCCAGATTCTTCTTCCCCATAGTATTTAATTGCTATGCTGATCATTTCTTTCATAGATTCACAAAATGGTTTATGTACCAAAGTTCAATATTTATATGTCACTAGCATACACCAAACTGCTGCTCAGCTGTTGCCTAATCACCTTTGAAGAGTGATTTTTAAGGCTCGCCCTCTCATCATCTCATGGCTTTGTGTTATTTCAGTATATCTCTTCCATTACCACTTGTATCAGAGGGTATGTCTACACAGCAGAGTTATTTCAAAATAAATTCGAAATAGCGGAGCGCTTATTTTGAATTTGGTAAACCTCATTCTACGAGGAATAATGCCAAATTTGAAATAGTTATTTCAAAATAAGTACTGTGTAGACACTTATTTTGAAATAGGGGGCCTCCAGCCTTCCCAGGGAGCCCTGATGGCCACTCCAGCCTCAACCAAGAACACTCCTCTCCCTCCACCCATCCCCGGAGCCCTTAAAGGGGTAGACTCTGGTCACAGTGCCTGTGCCAGCTCCAAGCCTGCCAGCCCAGAGCCAGCAGTCACTGCCCCTGACCCAGTGGCCAGCAGTCACTGCCCCGACCCAGTGGCCTCAAAACATGAGCCAGCAAGCCCCTGGCAGCCAACCCTTCACCACTCCCCAGAAGGAGTCTGCCAGCTCCCAGGAGCCTGCTAGGGCCCAGAGAAATCGGGCACCTTCCTGGTCCAGGGTGGAGATCCTGGACCTTATTCAGGTTTGGGGGGAATTCCCCCAACGTTCATGATCTCTGCCCTAGATGGAGGAATGCAGCCTGTGGCAGGATAGCTGCCAGCCTGGCCACCAAAGGCCACATGCGAACCCGGGTTCGCATGAAAATCAAGTTGGTCCGGCAAGACCCCCACTTCTGAGCTTCCCTTCCCCCTTCCAGCTTCCTTCTCCCAGGTTTCCCCCTCCCCTCTCCCACCCTCTCTCTTCCCCTCTCCTGCCTCCTTTCCCCAGTCTCACCAGAGTTTCACTCCCTCCCTCCCAGTTTCATTAAATAAAGAGAGTTTGTGTTCATGAAAATACGTGTATTTTATTTGACATCAGGAAGGTGGATTAGGTAGGGGTAAGTGGAAGGATGTGAGTGAGGAATGAGGCACAAGCCCCCAGTGGAGCAGACCAGGGAGGCTCTTAGTGCTCCTCAGGGTGGAAGCGCGCCCGCAGGGCCTCCTGGATACTGGCAGCCCCCCGATGGACCTCCCGGATGGCAGTCTGAAGAAAGTGCAGCCAGGCTCTTAGCAACACAACCAAGAGAAGCAGCAGAGTGCCCAGGGGCAGCTCTAGCTCCATATTGCAGAGTTCTGTGGTGTCCCGAGTGAGGCCGACCAGAGCATGCAGAGACAAAATGCTTTGCTGTCCCTCATTTAGGTAGACAGGCAAGCAGGGAAACCTGAGAACTAGCTATCCAGGGGAGGGGGAAGGGTGGAGTCCCTTTAAGCACAGATCTCAGATTGTGGGGCTGCTGCCTGAGGCTCAGTAAGTCCTGACCTGGTGCCCTGGCGGAACTGGTTCCGGCCAGCCTTAAATGCGATTCAGCATCCACTCAGTGTGGACGCGCTATTTCGAAATAGCAAAGTGCTATTTTGAAATGCATTTTGTGTGTAGACGCGTTGTTTCGAAATAACTATTTCAAAATAACACTGTAGTGTAGACATACCAGAGAGAGCAGCAGGAACTCCCCAGGAACTGATGCACACCAGTAGCGTACCTGCTCCTGCCTGCAGCCCCCTTGGTTGCTGCCCCCACACTAGTGCCTTTGATACAGAGGCAGCAGTGCAAGGGTAGCAGCCGAATTTCCAGTAGCAGGGTGGGAATCTGCATGAAACTATGAACGTTAACCCATAAGCCAGGCTTATCAGTTAACCGTTTACACCATTATACATTCACATCCCTACAGTCCACCAAATATGCTGACTTCTGTGAATCCCTTTTTCGGGCACCTAACTCTCCCTATGTGTTGTGTGGGGAGAAAACTTGGGGTTGTGAATTCGACTAGGTAGCGGGGGGGTTAAGTCCCTCTTGTGAACCTAACCTTCAGTGTCGTTTTTTGATTTTCCAGTATTGCTTCCACCTGCTCCATTTTACAACTCTAGTCAAAATGGCATGAATGAACAATATGCTAGTTTGCTTAGTTAGGTGTTTGCAGCAAAAGTGCTTTGTTTTATTTATTTTGAAGAGTTTATGGTTTTGTGCAAAATAGTCATACTTTGCAATTACCTACAGATACCAAATTTTGTATTAAACAGTCCTGTCACTTAAATTAGCTAAATGCAATACTTTTGAGACCAGAATATGCTGGGTGAAAGGTTTAAATAATTATTTTTGTTTTTTATCAGGAAAAAAGTCAGGATCATTATTTTTTATGAACTCTAATCATATTCACTAACAAAATTAAAATTGAATCACCTATTCAATTGTCATTTTAGTGCAAAGAAAATTTTTACTGTCACAAATCAAAAAATAATTACAATTAGTTATGGAAACAGTAATGGAAACTTTCTGAGTTTCTGATTCAAATTTATTACGTAAGGCGATTATTCAGTTAAATGAATAATATTTAAAGTAGAAATCCTACAAATTTAAAACTGTTCTTTTACAGGCAGTCCCCAGGTTACATACAAGATAGGGACTGTAGGTTTGTACTTAAGTTGAATTTGTACTTAAGTCGGAACTGGCGTCCAGATTCAGCCGCTGCTGAAACTGACCAGCGGCTGACTACAGGAAGCCTGAGGCAGAGTTTCTTTGCCCCAGGCTTCCTGGAATCAGCCGCTGATCAGTTTCAACAGCAGCTGAATCTGGATGCCTGGGACAGAGCAGCTGGGGCGCTGCCAGGTAGGTCCCTGCAGTGCCCTCACCTCGGCGCTGCGGGGACCAACCCGGCAGCACCCCAGCTGCTCTACCCCAGGTGTTCCCAAGTCAGCCCTGCTGAAACTGACCAGTGGCTGACTACGGGAAGCCTGAGGCAGAGCAGCTCTGCCCCCAGAAGACCAGGGAGACGCGGAGCAAAGCCACAGAGGACGCGGGCAGCGGGACCGGCGCGTCTCAGCGGTCCCGCCGCCCACATCTCCCTGGTCTGCTGGGGGGCGCTCCCCCCCCCGAGCAGACCAGGCTTTTCTCGCCCCGGAGGCTTCTCTCC